AAAGGGCCAGTTTACTGTCCTTCAGACTTTAGGGGGGCTAGACTGTGCCAGTGGGAGAAGAAAATGTCCTGGCATCAATGGGAGTAAGCAATGCCTCATCATTAGTATTAATGGGAGATAGAGTGCCCCATCACTGGTATCAATGGAAGGAATAGTTTCCCATTGTTGGTGTCAGCGGGAGGAATAGTGTCCCATCATTGGTGTCAGTGGGAGGAATAGTGCCCAATCATTAGTGTCAGAAGGAAGAATAGTGCCCTATCATTGGTTTCAGTGGGAGGAATAATGTCCCATTATTGATGTCAGTGGAAGGAATACATTGGTGTCAGTGGGAGGAATAGTGCTCTATCATTAGTGTCAGTAGGAGGAATAGTGCCCTATCATTGGTGTCAGTGGGAGGAATAATGTCCCATTATTGTTGTCAGTGTAAGGAATAGTACCCCATGATTGGTGTTAGTGGAAGAAATAGTGCCCTATTGTTGGTGTCAGTGGTAGGAACAATGCCCCACTGTTGCTGATGGTGGGGGGGGAATAATGCCCCAAGGGCCGGATAAAAGCAAAAAAAGGCTGCTTCCGGACCCCGGGGGCCGCAGTTTGGAGACCACTGATGTAAACTTAGCTGCACATGTGCAGATTAAAGCACATTCTAAAATGTTTTTGAACAATCAGACAAGAAGGTTTTATTGCCCAAGAGACATGTATGTCTCATCTGCTGTAAAAAGCCTGTCTACTAGCAATTTTTTTTTCCTTTAGTTAAAGTTGCACTTTAATTGCTTTGCAGCCACAGCTCCCCAGCACCCCAGCTCCTAGTCTTAGCTGAATCAGTGAGCAAACCAAGGCTACATTTATGAAGAAGTGTTCCATCGCACACTGCCAGCAAGGCTCTCACCTGCTGTGGTGCTGCTGATGGCCTGAAGCAAGGTCTCCACAAAGCTGTACTATATACTTCACAACTAAAAAATAAATACTTCAAGCTATAATTAGAACTTATTTGCCAAAAAAGTAAATTCTAACCTATTTGATTCAAATTAATTGCAAACACGGAGATTCAGCAAAAATATAACAATAAATGTAGTAAATAATATGAACCAATAAAGTTCTTACTAGGATGCTGCATAAGAAAAAAGACAGCAGATTGTAGTTTAAACAAAAGAAAAAAAAGACAGTAGATTGTAGTTAAAACAAAATGCTTTTCATCTTATTTTTAAGAAACGATTACTGTGCTCTGCAGATTAAACGTGAAAATGTGTTTGGAACATGAAGGTCTGTTAACAAGTTTCCAAATATAAGATAAAATAAAGCATCAACCGAAGCAGTGACAAGAAATAAAACTGCAACGAGATGAAACAAGCAGCCACATAAAAAGCTGCTAGGAATGATCTGCAAGAACATAAACATAGATGTAGAGATTTAATCGTGGAATTGTGCAGAAATAAATCAGTGTGCATTTAAAGGGAAAAATACATGATTTGTGGTAGAGATTTTTATATTCTCTTTACAGTTGCTCAATGAAAGATTCATCTTAAAAATCATGTAAATCATACTAAGAAAGAGAAGTCTGCTTTGGCCTACTAAAAGAAAAAGAACATTCTTAAAACAACACAATTCCCCTGTATAATTGCCCATTGTCAATTATAGGATCCATCATCAGGTATTTAGGAATTAAAATTAGATAATTTATGTAGCAATGATACATTAAAGGGAGTTTGTCAGATTGTTAAAGCATTTAGTAAATCAACAAAAATAAATATATTGCAGTTTACAAGTAAAATTAAAATGTTTCCACTTTTTTTTTCCTTTATATTGAGAGGAGAAATCCTTCATATAACACCTTTTTGCCCCTGGATGGTTATACTTTCTCCTTCACTGTATCTATGGAGGTAGCTATGGTTGCTACCCAAGATGGCTGCCTTTGTTCATCTCCATTACATGGGTGGCAGAAAAGATAAAGCTTTTATTATCTTTATAATCTTGCTGCCTTAGCCTCTGCAGCATTTCCAGAATTCGCCCCTTCCTAACGACACCACAAAACGGCTTATTCACTCCTTGGTTATTTCCTGACTTGACTACTGCAATTCCTTCCTCACTGGCCTACCCTTACACAGGCTATCCCTCCTTCAGTCCATTATGAACACTGCTGCTAGACTAATACACCTTACTAACTGATCCGTGATTGCTGCCCCTCTCTGCCAATCTCTTCACTGGCTTCCACTAGCCCAATGTATAAAATTCAAAATACTAACCATAACATAAAAAGCCATCCACAACATCGCCCCCAGGTATATTACCAACCTCATCTGCAGATACCGTCCTCTTCGCTCCTCCCAAGACCTCCTGCTCTCCAGTTCCCTTGTTACCTCCTCCCACGCTCGCCTCCAGGACTTCTCCAGAGCCTCTCCCATCCTCTGGAACTGCCTGCTCCAGAATGTCCGGAGTACTGTACTTGAGCCACCTCCATCAGATCATTCCCTGCAGCTATTACCTTTTGTACCACCTCCCCCTCCCTATAGATTGTAAGCTCCACAAGCAGGACCCTCCTATTCTGTCTGTATGGTAATTGTACTGCCCCCCTTTATATTGTAAAGCATTGCTTAAATTGTTGATGCTCTATAAATCCTGTATATATATATTAATAATAATGATAATATATATATATATATATATAATTATTATTATTCTTTCTACAGCTTTTATTAGTGACAAAGCCACAGCTTTTCCGGTAAGATCATCAGATTTTTTTTCTGTACTTGCTAAACATTGGAAGCTAATGCAGCCATCATAATAAAGGAATAGCAAGCTGTAATATATTACATTTTTTCTTGGGTTTAGTTATCCTTAGAATACAGTAAATAGTTCCTAGAGTGCAGGGAGCTGAGTGCAGGGAGCTATCTGATCCCTGGAAGTGGCTTTAGTTCTACAACATTCCTGTTGCTGCATCTTAGGTTGCCCATATGTACTGACCCAAAACTAGTGCAGGCTCTAGAATGTATGAATTGGCTTTGTATATATTTTATTTCTTTATCATGGCCAGGACTGACAGGCAACCTTTTTTTTTTTAAATTACAAAATATCGTATGTTAATCTTTTGGAAGTTTATTTTTAACCAGCTGGTATTGCTTAACTCCTTCACAACCAGGGTCAAAACAAACCTTAATGCCCCTTGCCCAATTTTGAAACTTTGATATGTGTTTGTATAAAGCCTCATGCACACTGGACATTATAAAAATGCCAGTAGTGTAGAATGCTGAAATAAAAACATGAGTTTTTTTTAGCTTTTTTGCATTAGCTTTTGTCAGCGTTATTTAGTGTTCTTCAGCATTTTTGCTTTTTTTTTTTAGCAAAGTTATACTCTCACAAAATCTTCAGGCTCAAAAACGTTCGTAAACGCCAGATAGCTGCTTTTTTAGAGTTTTTTTCCACTTTTTTTTTTGGTGTTAGAGCATTTTTACAGCTAAAAAAACAGAAGCCAAAACCAGCAGCTGTAAAAATGTCCAGTGTCCATGAGGACTAACTGTACACGTTATCACAACTACTTAGTGTATCCAGGTGGATTATACCTTGTTTTTTTTAGGACAGATGGGCTTTCATTTGGTGGTAAACATTAATGAATATCTCCTGCTTTTTTTATTATGAAAGGAAAACGGTTTCAAAATAGTAAAATTAAATATATTTTAAATGTATAATTTAATGCTATTACCATGACTCACCACCAAAAAAAACTGCATAAATTCTACTCCTAATGATTGGGTAATAGCACATATTTGTGAGATATTTGTACCCATAGTAGAGCAAAGAAAAAAATAGTACACATTTAGTTTTTTTGTCCTACCTAAATGCACTGACTCTAAATAAAAAAACCTTTTCTTTTCTTGTCTAAAACACACTGACCTGAACACTGCCACTAACTGATACAAATACTGCCATTAACTGACAAAACTAACCCTGACACTGACATTGACACTAAATGAAACTAGCAACAACTGACACTAACACACAGTAAACTAGATCAAGTCCTAATCTAGACTAATCCTCCAGTGAGGAGGAATAAATGTGTATTTCCTTCCTTGCTAGAGGACACGTCTGCTGTTTCTCCTCTTCATTGAGGAGAAACGATACAGGGACAGTCTATAGAGTGAATGATCACTGTGATAGCCAACAAAAGGCTATCTCGGTAATCATGTGATTGAGAACCAACAGCTCGATCTCAGTGCTGGTAGTACACGCTCAATCGCGCTTATAGTACAAACACAAAAAACAAAATTAAAAGTATGAAACAACCTCCTGCACTCCTAACTATGGTGTCCTTTTATGACACAGAGAATAGCTGTGATTCAGAGGATCACAGCTATTCTCTGGTCATTCACAGTTTATAACACCCAGGAGAATATGTTCAGCCCTTCTCTGGAGATCTGTGTTCTCCCTCCAGATTCTCCAGCCCAGAGCTGGAGAATCGGAGGGACCGCAAACTAAGCAGAGATAATTTACCTCTGCTTAGTAAACTGATCTTTTACTGTAATCTCACGAGATTATAGTAAAATAAGCCGTTTTCCAGCGTTTGTAGACCGTTTTCCCTTCGTTCGGAGAACTGCTTCATAAACGGCATTCACAGGAGAACTATGTTCTCTGAGAATGCCTGGAGAACTGAGCAGCGATCTATTACTGCTGGTTCATAAACGGACACCTAAGTCCCTATAAACTACTCAAGGAGGTACAGCTGCCAACATCCAATCATATACCAAATGATAAACATGAAAAAAAACAGCAAAAATGATGTAGCGCTAATACCATATATACCCAAAAAATATATACTAATGATAATAAAGTGACAATAATGATTATAATAAAGTGGATTACATCAACATATGTATAGAAAACAAAATCCAAAAAGTGACAAATATATCATAAATAAGTCAATATGTACATACGTAATAAATGCAGAAAAAACATATAAGTGATAATATAAAGAGGTGTTTAACACTCACACAATACACATACAACAAACTGCCACACAACAGGTCCAAAAAGGGACCAATCACAGCTGATCACATGTAAACAGGGAAATGCCGGTTATCGGCATTTCTCTCCTCTCGAGCTGTCACGCTGACAGCTCAAGAGGAGAGGAGAGCCGGTAATCGGCTTTCTGCGGAGGGGACATGTACACTGATCATCAGGGCACTGATGATCAGTGTGCCCTGATGATCAGTGTAGCCCCAGCAGTGCCAGCTGTCAGTGTCCATCAGTGCCACATCAATGCCACATATCAGTGCCCATCTGAGCTGCCTTTCAGTGTCACCCGTCAGTGCCACCTATCAGTGCTGTCAATCAGTACCACCTATTAGTGCCAGTCAGTGCTGCCTATCAGTGCCATGTATCAGTGCTGCCTTTCAGTGCCCATCAGTGATGCCTGTCAATGCCCATCAGTGCTGCCAATCAATGCCACCTATCAGTGCCAGTCAGTGCCGCCTATCAGTGCGCATCAATGCCGCCTATCAGTGCCAATCAGTGCCGCCTATCAGTGGGCATCAGTGCCACCTATCATTGTCAGTCAGTGCCACCTAACAGTGCCAGTCAGTGCCACCTATCAGTGCCGCCTATCAGTGCCGCCTATCAGTGCCATGTATCAGTGCTGCCTTTCAGTGCCCATCAGTGATGCCTGTCAATGCCCATCAGTGCCACCTACCAGTGCCTCCTCATCAGTGCCCATCAGTGCCATCTATTTCATATGGGTACAGTGTTGCATGACAGCGCAATTGTCATTCAAAGTGTGACAGCGCTGAAAGCTGAAAATTGGCCTGGGGAGGAAGTGGGTATAAGTGCCATGTAGGCTAGGGGTTAAATGGTGTTGCCTCAGAAGGGGGGTAGTCTTACATGACGAGTATAGCCCAAAACCTATGTTTTAACTGGAAAATTAGGGGGTCGTCTTATACACCCAGTAGCCTTATACGCCGAAAAATACGGTATATATCACACAAATATATTTAAAAAAAAAAAATTATAACAGTCCAAAAATAGATAAGAAATAAAATTAAATAAATAATGTTATAAAATTCACTCTGTGCCAACTTCAATCCTCATATTCAGCCTTTCAATGGCTCAAAAAGAAACCTCAGCATAAAAAGAAAAATCACATAGTGCATTATCTTAAATAAAATATAAATGAAACAGATGTTATAAACGCAAACAACCATGCGTGATCACAAATAGTGAAAAAAGTGAAAGTGTCAAAACAGTGCCAGTGAATCAATCGAGTGAAAAATATGCATCCAAAAACAGCATGTGAAACACTGTGTCCATATCTATGGTGTAAGGAGTGAATTTTATTTAAGATAATGCACTTATTGCTTATCTGCCTGGAGAGGAGATATACAATCCTATGAGCCTATACTTGAGGGGAGATCAGTCTGGAGAGTTTGGAAGAGTCCCGTACATGAAGGATCCGCTTTAGTGGTCCAAAAAGCGTTTTGGCCCTGTGCGGGTCGAAACAAGGAGGTGAGCGGGCATTTCAGCTATTTTAGAATATCTTCGTACACCTGTCATCACCTTTTGGGTTAAACGTCACGAGGAGTGCATTGCTTGATATCTTTAGGTGTTATTCACGTCACAGGACTTATTTATGTTTTAACTCTCTTGCATTTATGCTATACGTTTATATATTTGAGCACATATATTCATTGTATTATTTATGCACGGTTGGATGAACTGTGCTTATTAGTGACACAGTGGTTGTCGTTTATATGTTATTTGGGATCTGTCCCTAGAGCACTGTTTTTTGTTCTTTTTGGGGGGTTGGAGCACTTCTGTGTTTAGTCCCAGTTTGGACTTTTGTGTTCTTGTTCAGTGTTTTTTATCACTATTAGATCCGTTTAGGATCATTTGGGGCACTATTGATATTTGTTGGTCCCTTTTTGGACCTGTTGTGTGGCACTTTGTTGTACGTGTATTGTTTGAGTGTTAAACACCTCTTTATATTATATTATATTATATTATTATATTATTATAAGCAGGGGCGGACTGACCATTTGGAAACTCGGGCACTGCCCGAGGGCCCGGAGTCAGTAGGGGGCCCCATGAGATGCCCCATGAGTTGTCAGTCCGCCACTGCGTATATGTTTTTTCTGCATTTATTACATACAGTCATGGCCGAAATTGTTGGCACCCTTGATATTTCTCCAGGAAATCATGTATTTCTCACGAAACGTATTGCATTAACACATGTTTTGCTATACACATGTTTATTCCCTTTGTGTGTATTGGGACAAAAAAAAAAAAAGGGAGGAAAGAAAGCAAATTCGACATAATGTCACACAAACCTCCAAAAATGGGCTGGACAAAAGTATTGGCACCCTTTCACAACTGCGGATAAATAAGAATGTTACAAGCATGTGATGCTCCTGTAAACTCACCTGGGGCAAGTAACAGGTGTGGGCAATATTCACACCTGAAAGCAGATAAAAAAGGAGAGACGTTCACTTAACTTTGCATTGTGTGTCTGTCTGTGCCACACTAAGCATTTGTTTGAGAACCAAAATTGTGGCAAAAATCAACAATCTCAAGGTTACAAGTCCATCTCCAGAGAACTAGATTTGCCTTTTCCACAGTGCGCAACATTATCAAGAAGTTTATGGCACTGTAGCTAATCTCCCTTCGTGGACGGATGAGGAAAATTGATGAAAGATTGCAACGCAGAATAGTCCGGATGGTGGATAAGCAGCCCCAAACATGTTCCAAAGACATTCAAGCTGTCCTGCAGGCTCAGGGAGCATCAGTGTCAGCGCGAACTATCCGTCGACATTTAAATGAAATGAAACGCTATGGCAGGAGACCCAGGAGGACCCCACTGCTGACACAGAGACATAAAAAAGCAAGACTACAGTTTGCCAAAATGTACTTGGTAAGCCAAAAGCCTTCTGGGAAAACGTCTTGTGGACAGATGAGACCAAGATAGAGCTTTTCGGTAAAGCACATCATTCTACTGTTTACCGAAAACGGAATGAGGCCTACAAAGAACAAAACACAGTACCTACGGTAAAATATGGTGGAGGTTCAATGATGTTTTGGGGTTGTTTTTGCTGCCTCTGGCACTGGGTGCCTTGACTGTGTGCAAGGCATCATGAAATCTGAGGATTACCAAAGGATTTTGGGTCGCACTGTAGGGCCCAGTGTCAGAAAGCTGGGTTTGCGTCCAAGATCCTGGGTCTTCCAGCAGGACAATGACCCCAAACATACGTCAAAAAGCACTCAGAAATGGATGGCAAAGAAGCGCTGGAGAGTTCTGAAGTGGCCAGCAATGAGCCCAGATCTAAATCCCCATTGAACACCTGTGGAGAGATCTTAAAATTGCTGTTGGGAAAAGGTGTCCTTCCAATAAGAGAGACCTGGAGCTGTTTGCAAAGGAAGAGTGGTCCAAAATTCCGGGTGAGAGGTGTCAGAAGCTTATTGATGGTTATAGGAAGCGACTGATTTCAGTTATGTTTTCCAAAGGGTGTGCAACCAAATATTAAGTTAAGGGTGCCAATACTTTTGTCCAGCCCATTTTTGGGGTTTTGTGTGACATTATGTCATATTTGCTTTTCTGCCTCTGTTTTATATTTGTTCCAATACATACAAAGGGAATAAACATGTGTATAGCAAAACATGTGTTAATGCAATACCTTTTTTGTGTGAAATACTTGATTTTTATCAAGGGTGCCAACAATTTCGGCCATGACTGTATGTAGTTATTTATGATATATTTGTCACTTTTTGGATTTTATTTATACATATGTTGATGTAATCCACTTTATTATAATCATTATTATCACTTTATTATCATTAGTATATATTTTTATGGGTAAATATGGTATTAGCGTTACATCATTTTTGCTGTTTTTAAAAAAAAAAATAAAAAATAATATATTACAGCTTACAAGTCGTTGTCCTTACAAGAGGTGGCTGCACAGCCAGACAGCTGCTGCTGTTCCCACTGAAGCCAACACCAAGGAAAGACTGCTGTGTTTCATCTCTACCACCAAGGATTCTGAAGTACTGCCAAGTATGGACTTGGCTGCCATGGACCCTTGCTTGTAAAAGTAGGTGGCTGGCTGCTTAATACTGGAGGGGACCTGACTGTTCCTAATGAGGGGGATGTCATCTACCTGAGCAGGTGTCCATTATCAGTGAAGATTCCTGGCTTCATATAACAAAAGTGTTTTGGCCCTTTGAGGGTTGCATCAAGGAGGTGAGGGGGCATTTTAGCCACATATGGACTATTTCCATCGGTGGTGATGCACATCCACAATATCACCTGCACTTAGGAGTAATTGGAAAGTTTTTGGTGTATACGCACCTATTTGGACTTGGTTGTTTTAAGTTTTTAATTTATTTTTTCATTTTTTGCTTTTTTTTTTATGTTTACGGACTATTATATGTTCACCTATTTTTTTTTATTTTTTTATGTGTTTGCTCATAAATATACTTTTTGTATGTGTGTTTTGGCACTATTGTATTTAATTGATATCACATTTAGGGATCAATTTTATGTCACTATTTACTTAAATAAGGCTTAATTTAGCCATTATTTGTCACGATCTGCATGATATTGTTGATCCCTGTTAGGGGTTCACGTTCTTATTTTCATCATCATTTGCATGAATTTATTGATCCCTATTTAGGGATTCATGTTTATTTGTGTTTTATTTTATTTTTTGCTTGATCCTAGTTTGGATAGTGGGGTTATTGGTTCCTGGTCATTTATACCAGGTGTGATCACTTATTTCACTTGAGATCCCAGAGAGGATCAATCCACTGATTTATTGGCACGTATATATATTTTATGTCACTTTTATTGAGATCCCCAGAGAGGATCAATCCACTGATTTTTTTTGTCACATATATATATTTATGTCACTTTGTTTGTTTGTGCCATATTGTATTATTTTATTATTAGGGTAGCGCTGCATCATTTTGATTTCATTATGTCTCATTAAAGAGCAGTTGTCATGTAAAATTCATCACATAGGGGACTTTGTGTCCCCTCTTTGATGAAAAAAAAAAGTTAAGCAAAAAATAAAGTTACACCCAAGCACATAACTTCCCCCCTAAAAAAACTGAGATCCCCCCACCCCAACATATACACACAAACATAAACTCACACGTCAGGGGCGCCTACACATGGAAATGTTGATTGCGATACACATGTTACATATCACCGCACACGCCGGAGTGAAAGCAAAAATTCTAGCACAAGACAAAGAGTACTGAAGTTTGTCATCATTTTACGTGCACACACAAATTTAAGGTTTGACATGTTGGGTATCTATTTACTCAGTGCAACCTAGTCTTTTATATTTTACCAAAATATGGGTAATCTATGGCATGCGTTTGCCCTAAAATTCACTTGAGTGTGTTTTTTTTACTGAAATTTTGTGTTTTTTAGACCTTTGCGGTAATATTGTGTAACATGAAAAATTGGAATTAACACTATTTTCTGCTCTAGGGTGTCTGATTTCAAAAAAAGTTATTATGGTTGGGGGTTTTAGGTAATTCAGGCCTAATATTATTTTTTAAACATGTATGCACGAAATGAAAAAGTGGCTCTGGCAGTGAAAGGGTTGAAAATTGA